CATTTAAGCGTGGGTCTCCAGTGGGCCCAGATGAGTGCTGCATAGTTGGTCTAGTAGTAGAGTGAGAGTCAGTGTCTTGGCCCACACAGGAGCCAGGCTTCACAAAAGTGAGCTCAACGTTGTCAGTGACATATGGAAGCATGGCCTTGCAGGCACTGACTTAAATATATTTTCCCTGCTGCTTCTTGGGGCCTGTATGGTTAGATGGGTGGGGCTGGGCATGTATTATTTCTCAAGGCCTGAGCTTCTGAGGCTAGGCTGCTCTCCTGCTTCATGGGGCCACAGGAAGATATTCAGGGCTTCCTGGTTGCTTCCCTGAGCCACTATGAGCCGAGTCACTTGGAGAGGCCTGCCTGGCTATATTTTCTTGAAATCTTTCTGGATAATTTTCACCATACATATTCGGTACTTATTTTGTTATATTTAAGCTTAAACTTTAAAAAAAATATTGATTTATTTCTAGTTTGCCCCATTTTTTAGTGTAGATCCAGGTGTATATATATATCTGGTATCATCTTTATCATATCTCAAAAATTTCCTTTAAAATTTCTTGAATTACTGTTCAGCTTGCAATGAAATCTTTTAATTTTGTTTTTGTTCTGTATTTTGAGTGATTACTTCATCTACTATATAATTCTCAATTGACAAACTTGAGAGTTTAAAATATTTTTGTTTTTGTTTTTGGAACAGTAAAAATATAACCCCATTTTCTTTTGTTTTTTTGTTTTTCATTTTTTTTTAATTAAAAATCTGCTCTAATTTTAAGAAACCTTTTTATATCCTCATTTTACTGGGTGTATCTGTCTCTTTTCAGGCTATATTAAATTTTTTCATTGCTTTGTTTTTCACCAGTTTGAAAATGCCATACTGTTATTATTTTTTAAATTATCTTTCTGGTATGTTCCTGGGTCTCTTACTTTATGTCTGTCATTGATTGTGCAGAATTCTTAGTAATTATTTGTTCAAATGTACTTTTTGCCTTTTCTGGGTTTCCAATTACATGTGTGCTGGAACTTTCATATTTATCCCACAACTGTTTGAATATGTTCTTCTGTTTTTTTCTCCAATCTTTCTTCTCCTTATGTTTCAGTTACGGTAATTCCTTTTGAATTGTCAAGAAGTACTCTGATCCTTCCCTCAGTTCTGTTGAATCTTTTTTTTTTTTGGTACCCGGATCGAAGTTGGAACTCGGGTCCTTGTGCTTGCGCAGCAGGCGGCGAAACCACTGAGCTAAATCCCCAGCTCTCTGTTGAATCTTTTGATGAACTCGTAGAAGATATTATTCATCTCTTTTAATAAGATTCTTATTTCTTGCATTTCTGTATCATTTTTTCTTATAATTTTTATCTCTTTGATGAGATTTCCCATTATGTCTTTCATGATGGCTATCTTTTCCATAGTAATTATAACAAAATTTTCTGATGATTCTAGAACCTGTTTCATATATAAATAGTTTTATTGAATTATGTTTATTATTTGCTTTTTTTTTTAACTAGTTTGACTTTTTTTTGTTGAAAGCATATCACCTGAGTAGTACAATGATCATAATATTTATATTTAGAAATGAGCTTGCCTTCTTTTTGTTAAATCTTTAGTTTGACACATATTTGAGATATTTAAAAGAAACCCTACATTTCTTGTATAGCAGAGACTGTATCATAAGCCCTAACCTTTTGGCTTGCCTGTACCACTTCAAATGAAGAGGAATTGTCTTGGGCTGCATATAAAATTATAATATGTGTGTGTGTGTGTGTGTATGTGTGTGTGTGTCTGTGTGTGTGTATGAAGTTTTGTGATGCACATATATGGAAAAAGTTTTTTTAATATTTTAACTTATTAAATTTTTTTATGAAATAAGCCCAAATGTAATAAATAAGAAAACTTTCATACTTAATAACAATACGTAACTAGTTAGTAATAAATAGCTATCTCCATGGACTCTCTCACACACAAGTAGATTGAATTACTCTTATCAGTAATCTCTGCATTTTACTTGCCAAGTTGCACAAGCTCATGTTTCTGATACATGCAGGTTTGGATTGGTGGAGATATTAACAGCGATATGTAGCTTTTAAGTAATGGAAATGGGGTTAGTGGAGTGAGCCTGAAAGTTTTAAAAATTTATATGACAAGTAGGTATTATGTTGGATGGGACAGGACTAGATTGTACTGCAGCTGATAAAAAAGTGTACTGAGGTAAAATGGGGACTATAGAGTTAAGATACAGAAAGTCATTATGTGTGTAGTAGGTGTATAAGTGGAGGAAGAGGGCAAAGTGTGAAGAAATGGAATTCTTTTGTTCATAGTTAGAATATATTCTGCAGGGTAAGAATTACATATATTTTGTTGATGAAGGAACAGAAGCAAGGACTGATGAGATACTTAAATACAAGCTCAAAGCCCATGCGTGTTCCATTATGTATACTACAATGCTTCTGACAGAGAGAGAGAGAGAACAGACATAGTGGTGCACACCTGTAATCCTAGCACATCTGGGAAGCTGAGGCAGGAAGATTGCAATTTCAAACACAGACTGGGCAATTTAGCAACTTAGTGGGAACCTGTCTTTAAATGAATGAATGGATGAGATGAAAGAGTATTAGATGAATTTGGAAAAGGGCCAATATGACAATTTTCAAAAATATTTTAAGTAAATGCTTATCTTTTTATCTTTTAGACAATAAAGGTGTTGCCTTAAAGTGTGTGATGTTAATACACACTGCGTGTTTATTTTAGTTGTTTTATTTTATTTTTATTTTTTATTTTTATTTTTTTGTTACTGGGGATTGAACTCTGGACCTTGCCGCTTGCAAGGCAAGCGGCAGAACCACTGAGCTAAATCCCCAGCCCTCAGTTGTCTTTTATAATTGGCTTATTGTTGTTCATTTTGTTTTATTTTCTTATGTTCGTGATTATCTTTGTTTGTATATTATTCATTGTTCTTTCAGATACTTTTTGCAAATCACTTGAAGGTCAGGAAGAAGTTGCCTTCCTCCAAGAAAATTTGCTTTTGCTTTTGCCCGGTAGCTATTGAAAATACCAGTTACCTCTAACATTAACTTGAGTTTAAAAGGACTACATAAAAATTGTGAAGTTGGGTTATATTCCACTGGTTTTAAGAGCCAGAGCTAGCCTACTTTTGCCAGTATGACAAACTGACTTCCTTGCTCATTCACTTCTCTTAGTTCACATGCCCTGTTCAATTTGGCTGGGTAGTTTCTTACTTTCTTTGGCTTTAAGAAATTCTTATATCTTGTGATTTAATAATTTTCATTGATTTCATAGTGAGTGTTGGTTTGTTATAAGACCAATTGTTTCTGAAAATGTTTCCACTGTATTTATAAACAGGAATCTCATTTCTAATTTCATAGAGTGATTTGCTCATAATTTTCATATATATCATGGCATAATCTCTCTGTTAGGTGTTCTTCATTTTTTTATTTTGTATTCTTTCTGTTTATTTTTTGCAGAAAATAAATTTCTTTCATAGGCTACATGTTGATAAAAATTTTACCATCACTCTTCATTGATGTTATTATAAGCTGGGTTAGTGGGTACCTCAAATTTCAGCTTATAGGAGAGTAAGTTTCTCCTGAAACTACTCATCCACTTCACTGTATTATGGCATCCTTTGCCAGCCGGAGCTTCCCTGTAGCCGCATATATCCTAAGTTGGTTTTTTTTTAATCTTTCATGTTCTTGCTATTTTTAGTTTCAGAGTGGATAGAGGACATAGACATTTATTCCTATTAACTTTGATAAACTTCTGTCTTGTTCCTCTAGACAGAACTTCTATACATAGCATGGCTACCACACAATTTAAGTCTTAATATTCATGTCTCTGGTAGTTTCTAAACTTCCTGATATATCCCAATTTCCATAATCTTTTTTTAGTGCCATTATTTTTCTCTCTGTGTTTAAAAAGTCTGTTGATTGATACATAAATTAGTGCCATCTTTCTAATGGCACCTCATATCTCTCTATATAAAGTTTTTAATTAGTTGCTCTTAAGTATCTCCTCTCCAGTTAGTGATTTCTGTGAATACTGATATTTCTTATGCTCATAATTTTTCAGTGCAGAAGTAATTAAATATTATAGGGGAAAACTATAATTATTTTAAATCTAATAAGTATTCTGTTAAAAGATATTATGGGCAACACAAAAACTAGCACATGAATGTTTATTAAAGCTTTACTCATAATTGCCAAAAATTGGCAGCAGCCAAGATGTTCTCGGTCGGTTAATGGATACATATCATACAATGGATATTAGGAAGCAGTAAAAAGAAATGAACTATTAAGCCATAAAGAGACATATATGAAGAAACCTGAAAGGCAAATTGCTAAGTGAATGAAGCCAGTGAGGAAAACCATCAATATTATGATCCCAACTATTTGACATTATGGAAAACACAAAATTATAAAGACCATAAGAAGATCAGTTATTGCCAGAGCTGATGGGAGAGGGAGGAGGAATAAATTGGTGGAGCACTGAGGTTTACAGTAAAACTAATCTATCTGATATTGTAATGGTGAGCATGTGGTATTATATATTTGTCAAAATACACAGAACTCTACAACACAAATGGTGAACCCTAATGTAAACTATGGTCTTTAATAATAATCAATATTGGTTCATCATTTATAAAAAGTGTAATACAAGATGTTAGATGTGAGATGTCAATAGGGGAAACTGGACAAGAGTATTAGGGGCTGGCAGGAGGTATATGAGAATTCTTTCTTTGCTTTTCTTATGTAAGCCTGAAACTTACTTTTTTAAAGAAAAGTCTATTAATTAAAACAAAATTGATTTCTGATAAAATGTTCATAAATATTAGCTAAACTAAGCAAATAACCTTACACAGTCTGATAGAATGTAATAAACTGTTTCAAATGGTATATTTCTTTTTTATTGTTAATGATTTAATACTTTTCTACCTTTTTAGAATACTGGCAGTCATTCTCATTCTTGTGTCTTTTTAAATTTTTTTTTCCACTTAGGTGTACTTGCACTATCTTGGTACCCACCTGATTCAAAAGATGAGAATGGAGAAGCTACTGATAACTTAGTACCAACTATTTTGGATAAGGCCCATAAATACAATCTAAAGGTATTAAATTTATTTTCAAGCTACCTATATATAATTTAATTCTTTGGGACAAGAGTATAGTAATAACAATTTTTGGAATGATTTAATTATGGGAAAATAATGACTTAGAATCTATTAAAATATATTTCATGGAGAAAATTTCTATAATTTAATCTGTGCTTTAAACCTTATCCAAATTGTATTTTAGGGAGCTCTTATAATTTTTTCTAACTATGTGTTATATTAATCTATTTATTTATTTCAGCAGAAAGTTTGTTGAAAGTTTCTTTTGTAAATATAATATAAAAATAATGAAGATTTATGTCTAAATGGCTTAGATGTCAAAAATCTACTTAAAAATTGTTAGCCTTACGATTTACATCTTTATAAAGTAGTTAGAAACTAAACCTCTGCTTAGATATTTTTCAAAATCAGTTTTCATTTCAAACTTCTGTACAGTGTATTCACATGTATCTGTGTAGTTAGAAAACAGGTGAATCTGAAGACAGTTTCAAGGTCAAGTCTATTCTACTCAGCCATTAGCATATATCACAAATGAGGAAAAATAAGGTACAGTGTTAAAATTTTCATTCTTTCTTTTGAGCACTTCATGGAAACAAATAGGATTGATGATTAAAGGGTTTTACAAATAGTACAACAAAGAAAAATTTTATACTGACTAATGAGAAAGTAAGTATTGCTTTTGAAATCCCTGGATACTTTTTCAGAAACTGGCTATGTATAGGTAGCAACATTAATCTTAATATTAAGGCACAAAATTATACTCAGAGTTTATGTTATATGATTACTTTCAATATTACTGAAAGTCATAAAGGCAAAACTATTTAAAAAGTATAAAACTGTTCAGAACTTAAATTACAACAATTAGAAATAACACTTCTTTTAAAGAAGACTTAAAAATGATACAAAAATAAATAGCACTGAGATTATTGTATTATTGATACCAACGGGATATGAATCATAAAGATAAAGGAACTGATAAGTATGAAGTATAAAACTAATTGAAACTAGGTTCAATTGCACATGCCTATAATCCCATTTACCCTGGAGGCTGAGAGAGGAGAATTACAAATTGAAAGCCAGCCTGGACAAGATAGTAAGACCCAGTATCAAATAAATACTGTGTATACATACATATATATACATACATACCTTCTAACTCTAGCCTGCATAAATCTATGCTTTCTTCTACTTTTTTAGAAAATAGTATGCAAACCACTGGTAAAACTAAATATAAAAAAATGGAAAAAAATAATATTGTCAAAAATTAAGAGAATATACCTAGAAAAGAGATGGAAATTTTATATTGGTATTTTTAAAATTTAAAAGAAATGGGTAGTTTTCTAGGAAAATACCTCAAAAAGTTCTTTATGTGCAGAAACAGGTTCAAATAATCTGAATTGACTAATTTTCCTGGACAAATTTGAAAGATATTTGAACAAATTTCTTTTCTGAAGTACCAGATTTATGCATCATCAACTTTAGCAAAACAGTTGATTCTTGTGATATTGAAATATTGATGTTGGAAAGTGTATTCAGTAGAAATTGATTCCTAACATCACCCCAGAACTTCACAGCTTCAAACAAAAACATTTGTTATTGCACACAATTTGGAAGGGTCAGGAAGGATCTGGAAGTGTCTTAAATAGCTAAGTCTGGTTTCAGGTCTCTCAAGGAGGTATCAGAGGAGCCGCTAGCTGGTGCTGCAGTCATTTGAGACTAGAGAATCTACTTCTAAGGCTTTTTATGTAGTAAGCAGATGATGGACTAGGAATTTAAATTCTTCGCCATGTGAACCTCTCCTCAGTGATACCTGAGTCTCCTTAAGACTTCGTAGCTGGCTTGCTCAGAGCAATTTGAATGATCTGAGGAAAAGAAAATCCATTATAGAGTTTTCAGACTTTTTCTTTTTTAACCTAATCTTGGAAGTGACATATTGTCACTTCTGCCCTGATCTGTTGGTTCATCTGGGAGAGAAATGCATCGATTGAGAAGACCAGGAGATGGGCTTGGGGAGGATGGATATCTTGGAGATGCAATAACAGAAAACTTTCTAATTAGTTCTATAATGACAAGATCATCCTTATTCAGAACTAAATAATAGCACAAGTAAGAGACTTACAGAGTCATCTCACTAATGAAAATAGACGCAGAATTCTTAAAGGAAACGTGGATAAGAAGTGTTTATTAGTAATGCTCTAAGAATGGTTCCAAGAGTAAGAAATATAAATCTGAATTGCCTATATTCAAACCTGGCTTCACCTCTTTCTGGATTTATATGTAATTCTTCTGCTTCAGTTCCTGCTTCTCCTAAATGGAAATGGTAACAGAATCTACCTTATAAGGTGGTTATAAAGATTACATAAGGTACTATATGCAAATAACTAAGATTAGTGTCTGGCATGGAATAAGCACTAGGAAATTGCTAAGTAGGTAAATCTTTGTTGACTGTTTATAGAAAATAAAGCATGATTATCTTAATAGGTACTGTAAATTTGAGCAAATAAGAACTAATTACTAATAAAACTCTTAAGCAAAGTTCTTTAACTTGATGAACTTTAATGTGATAAAAGAAATACTTTAATAGCTTGTATGATCCAACATACTCTTGGAGAAAACAACAGTATCATATTCTTTTGACTAAGAACAATAAAAGAATGCCGTCTGTCATCAGTATTATTTAGTATTGTTATGGAGACTCAAAATGATTTGACTAAAAATATGTAAAAATGTTTTATAGAAAATGATCTTTCTTTCCAAATGACAAATACAAAAACCATGAAAATTTTATAAAACCTGTTAGGAATTATGAGTTCAGTAAAGTGGCTGGAATAAAAAAATATATACAATTCAGTAAGATGCCTAAAATAACAGAAAAAAATGAGGAAAAGTACATTGAAAATGAAATCAGTAGATGCACAGAGAAATCCTTTGTGTTTTACTTGAGAAAATGAAATACTTGCATGAATAGAGAAACTTAATTGCAGAAATGGCCATTCTCTCAAACATTTATATTTCCTTTATTTAATATAACTTATAAATTTAATGTAATCCCACTTAAAATTTTAGTGAGATTTTAAATACCAAATTTGGCAAACTAATCTTGAAGCTTATAAATATATTGGGATAAGTTTTTAAAATCTGTTAATAAAGGGAAAGTTTGTTTTTCCAGACAATGAAATGTGCTATAAAATAGCCGAAGTTAGTGTATGGGATTAGCCTCTATGCAGAAAGAAATCAGTGAAACATAATAGAGTCCAAAAACAAGACACTTCATATTGAAATCTAAAAGATAATTCAAGAATCATTTAAAATCAGGTATAAAAGTGTAAAATGAAAGTGTATTCATGATCTTGTCCTCATGATACTGATTTTTATTTTGTTTTATTTGTGCATTATCTACTCTTGTTTCTTATGGATGGACAATCAGATTTCATATTTAATCACTCTTGTTTTCAGTTTGCTCATGTATCTTCAAGTTTATTCTTATTTTTCAATGCAATGTGTTTATAAGTCTTAATGAAAATGTGAACTGTAGTGTCTTTTAATTAGAGACCATTTACTCTGAGTTCTCACAATTAGTACTACTCTTATTTGCTATATAACTTCCTAATGAAGGATAGTTTGGTTTTTGCAGTACTCGAAATTAAACTCTGTAAGAGGTGAATTGCTGTTGAAATATTCATTTCAAATAAAAATGAAAATTTATCTTAGTTTTCTTTTTTTCAAATTTTTGTTTTATTAGTATATGTTTGCAGTACATAATAACAACATTCATCATGGGGAGTTTGGTGTATGTACATAATCTTTTTGCAGCTTGAATATTCAGTAGTTATTAAGGAATAGAAATGAAACTCCAAGGAGGGTTAAAAAGGCAAGGCTATTATATTATTGCTTTCTGTGTAGCTGACTCATTTCTTTTATGATCACGAAACTCTTAATGCAGCATCTCTGAAATTAGCTGACCTGCCAAGAGCTGTCACTTGTCATATCCCTCAGTGCCATTCAGTGAGTTTTCATTGACATTTGAAATCCGCAGATAACCAAGCCTCCTGGTACCTGGCACCAGGTCTGAAACTGAATAAGAGATCTGTTTATCTTCCACAAAATAAATCCAATAGCCACTGTTCTGTCCAGGTTTTATAGTAACCCTGAGAGATGGGAGGGCAGAAGAGATTTTTAAAGGTAAAGTGAAAATGTTCTTATGTGTGAAAAATGGGTTGATTTTTAGCCTACTTAAAGCTTCTGTGTGTAAGGAAATGAACTCAGCCACCAGTTGTCTATGGAAATGCTACTGCCTTCTTAATCTCTCTTGCTAACATCCTCAATTAGATTTTATGTCTAGTGATCAGAAAAATTTGGAACTTGATAATGTGTTCCACAATTTTTAGAATAATTTCTTGGCCTTGTCTCTTCCAAAGAAAAATATACCCTTTATTAGTTTTTTTTTAAACCATAATGAAGTACTTGAAGCTAGATAACTTTATGAAGAAAATAGATTGATTTGGGTCATAGTTCTGGAGGTTCAAGGGCATGGCTCTGACTTCTGCCTGACCCTAGTCTTTGTTGGGAGCTTGTGTGAAAAAGAAATCTAGTTGCCAGACAGGAAGCCAGGCAGGACAGGAAGAATCAAACTTGGCTCCTCTGATAGCCCTCATATGGAAGCTAACCAAAGGTTCTCATAACTACCTCAGTTCTTTTCAACGGCTGTACTGCCATCAAGACTTAATGACCTACCACTAAACTCTACTTTTAAAGGTCTCACCATTCTCACATTGAGACATTTTCAAGAAATCACATTCAAACCAGAACCGTCACACTTTAGCATGTCTCTACCTGGGTAGCTTTGGAATCTGATATTATTTCTTTATCTTATTGGGATGCCCTTTCATTTGTAAAATGACAATCCATGTGATGGTTTTATGTATTGAATTTTGCTGTGGTTTCTGTTGAGTTATTTTTGTGGAACAGCAATTTAAGAAAACAATTCTATAAGGAGT